ATATATATATATATATATATATATATATATATCATTATTAAACTTAAAAATCTAATATGATGATCAAAATCATTGTAAAAAAGAGTTAATGGATAGGAACTATATAATTTGGCAGAAATATTGTTTTATTTAACTTTATTTTATTTTATTAATTAAATATATAATAATTAGGCTGTAAAATATATAATAAATATAATATTCATAAATTAACATAACCATAATATTATAAACATATAATCAATTAATATAAATATAAAATAAAAATATTATTACAAATATTATTTATAATCATTCAAATAATTGTATACATTTGAAAATTATAATAAATAATATTCACAATTATTAACAATAGATTCAACTGTTTATTAAGCATTGGTGTCTTTTATTATTGTACCGGTGCTGCCATTTTATAAAAGGAATAAGATATTTTACCATGAGAAAAGGGAATTTAATAAGAACAACACTGTGGTAAATAAATCACTGTAACTCACAGCCTCAAACCTTTTTTCTTTAATGCATCTGGGAGCCAGCTAATACAGCTGTCCAGCATGGGTCTATTACTATGTGTTTATGGCTTAAGGCATGATTTTGCTGTGTTTTACATGCAGCCTGAGCTGATCATGTAAACAAAGCTGGGTAACGCAATGCATAATGGGTTTTGGAAGAAAACCTCTATAACAGGAAAGAGTGCTCTGATTAGCGGTAGTGACCCAGCAGCAATTCGTTCTCTTCCCCCACACATCAGTGCTTCACACGCTCTTTCTCACGCCTCACAACCCCTTCATATGTGTACACACTGTACACATGGTCTGCATAATCAGGATTTTTTTCATTATATATATATATATATATATATGCAATTTCAACAATATATCATATACAAAACAATATGTATTTGCAGGTGAGCCTGTAGATTTAAACCAGAACTGATTATTTAAATTGAATATCCTTCAATTCCTAATGCTTTCCATTTACAAGCAGTTAGCTTTAAATAATCCCAATTTACATAAAAAGTCAAATAAATGTTTGATAAAGGTTCAGTATTCTTTAGTTACAGAAGAAATTTACTGTTATTTTCCTGAACTTTGTGCTAAGCATAATTTGTCATGTCATAATTTTACTGATTCTAGCGTAGGTTATCAACTATATTATTCCCTACATCCCCACACAAAGATAGTAATACCAGTAATGTTTTACCTTATGGGGACAACAAACAAACTTATAAATCATTCAGAATTAAGTTTTTTGAAAATCTAAAATAGCAGAAAGTTTTGTGTGAGGGTAAGGTTTAGGGGTTAAACCTCTATGGAACCTCTATGGAATGTCCCCATAAAACATGTAAACCCAACGTGTGTGTGTGTGTGTGTGTGTGTTAAAAAAACACTATTTAGTAAATATAATTAATATACTATGCATATATCGACTACTTTGCATAGTTGGTATGCAAAGTAGATTAAATTAATTATAGTGATAATATATTGACTAGAAAGCAGCTCTCTCTTGAAAATAAGATGAAAATTAAAATCAAAATTCTTATGCATAAGTTTACCACTTGCTTTATATGTCACAGTATCTATTTGTTGTGTTGCTTAAATCGAATTATTCATTATGCTAAGATCTGATTGTAATGCAATCAGTGTAAAAAGTGCTATTCCAAAAGTCACAAGCTAAGGTGGCTTTGCATGATTTTACATGCATTTGATTTTTTTCTTTTTCCTTTTTTTTTTCAAATGTGTATTTTTCTGCAAGCAGCAGATAAGTGCATATTTGAACTATGTTGCATTAGGTCAGGAAACTAGTTTTGGCAATGCATACATGCTCAGTATGTCTTGGGGAAAGTAATGTAGCTATTTGGAAACAGCGTAATCCAGCCCAAGAGGCAATAGTGAATGACAGTAAATAGCTCAAGGTTAATAGGTGAAGCTCCTATGATTAGCTTGACTTCAAGTGAAACGCTTACACAAGTCATTATGGGCTGCTCAAGTATAATTAAAGGGGTCATATGATGCTGCTAAAAAGAACATTATTTTGTGTATTTGGTGTAATGAAATGTGTTTATGCGGTTTAAAGTTAAAAAAACACATTATTTTCCACATACTGTACATTATTGTTTCTCCTCTATGCCCCGCCTTTTTGAAACACGTCGACTTTTACA